GGGAGGGGAAAGGAAAGGGGGAGAGGGGAGTGGGAAGGAAAGGGGGAGAGGGGAGAGCAGCGCTTCTCGGGGAATCAACCCTGTATACTTTAAAATCATACTAAATGCCAAAGTTCCTTCTAATGTGATTTGATTTTTTAACTTACCCTTGAATAAGTATGGGGTGAGTATGGGGTGGGAGTGGTTAATATTTGGGATGGGGGAGAGGAGAGAGCTGCACCCCTTGCGGAATCAACCCTGTGAACTTTAAAATCATACTAGATACCAAAGTTCCTTCTAATTTGATTTGAATGTTATAATTTACCCTTGAATAAGAGTTAAACATCTGAAAAACTCTGTAAGCATCGTATGATTCTTGAGGTGTTGTGAAGGCGATCTACAATAGGAATGCACGCAGATGATCAGTTCAGCATAATTAGTATGTGGTAAACTTAACGGCATAATGTATTACGTGTGTTTGATATCACCATGTATCGTCTTTCGCACCACTCTGTCAAGTTGATGAATGAATGGCAAAGCGGTCACCATTAATAAAGTCGACATTTTTCGTCAGTAATGGCCTATGGTGGTATATGATTAAAAAAAATTAAATACATTGTTGCTTGCAGATATGCAATACCTACCAGCAACCATGTATGTCAGTCGTTCACTGCCCTCACTCGAAGATATCGAGTTAAACACTTGAAGATAAATTCCATATCTACACGCACCCATCTTTTAATTTCTATTTATCCCCAATGCAGCACCACAGTTTCTCTGGAAATTTACTCTTTTAGAAAAATCTTATTTTGTGTACTTTGAGCCACTTGGTTCTTCTAGCCTTTCTTTAAATAAGAAAAGGGTTGAACCGACTTTATGATTTATAAACTAACCTGAATCTGATCTCTAATGGCAGCCTTGTTTATATCACTGACACACTTGATACCAGGTCCTAGTGACAAAATACTGACATCGGGGGAAAATATCTGAAACTGGGAAAACAAAGCCAGAGTACGAGTAGGGTTCAGCTGATGAACAGGGCTACCCGTGCAGCAGGGACTGAAAAAGTTATCAACCAAATAATCTGCAGGAAAGTGATCCTGAATTAGACTGTTTAGTGATGATCTGCGTCTAAAAACCGTTTAGCAGAACTGGTTGCAATTATAGGCCACAAATATACGTGAAGTGTTTTAAGTCATTTTCGGCTCAACGCACTTTTTTGGTTTTTGTTTGTTTGTTTGGTTTTTTTTTAATAAAATAAAACCTTGAAGTTATGCTGTCTTGGTTAGACAAACACATAAAATGTGCCTGTTTGCGAAAAAAAATGTTTCGTTGGAGGAGACCAACGTATTGAGTCACTGACAATACCTGGCGTCTCAAAAAGAGGTTTTTCTCAAGATTTCTTCGATCTTTTAATTTAATTTAAACGAAGGAATAACATACTCCTTTATCTTCATTACCGCTTTCTCACGAAAAATACTGTGTGGCACTCAAGATATCTCGGTTCCCTCTCCATTATTTTATAACTATTCTAACACAGTTTGAACTCAAATGAATTTAAAATACGCTAGGTACACGCACTGAGTTAAAAAATGTTTCACTGATTATTTGGGGAATATACTACCATTGAATCAATACTGGCGTGCATTTAGCAACAATGGATTTATACTGACCTGCTTCGAGGCCATGACTTGTACTCTGTACTTGTCATAAAGTTCTTTGAGAGAGGAAACCAGCGTAACGTTTCCATCACAAACTAAACTGGAAGAGCTGTAACGAGGAAGCAGAAAAGCATAACTATGACCAGTGACACGGATTTTGCCTTCAGTAGCTCCATTCTCTGCCTTTAAAAGCACACACAACCCACAATTCCTCTACTCGCTCCGACGAAGGGCTAACCGAAACGGCTGGTTTCATAGGTGGCTAACATCAAGTGGTTGTAACAATGCTTTGGATGGGCGGCGTATGACAGGTTTCTCTTGTACCTGAACTTGTGCCTTAATCTTTTTACAACTTCCTGAAACACTTCCTCGAAATCAGCATCTGAATCTTCAAGTCCTTTGAAAGACTGCAGATAAGAAAGATAATTGATTGATAAGTACACGTCATTAATGCTGACAAATACGGCATCCGCACTCGAAGAAAATAAGTCAAAAGGACCTTTCCATTTAAAGGTCTCCTGCATTCAGCGGACGTTCCCACACGTCCACCCTTGTACCTTTCTACCTTTCTAAAAATAGATATTTGGCCCCTGCATTTTTCATCTCCCTTTGCCTTACCAAAATACACTGCACCCCTTACGTTATCCTTTGGAGTAGCTACAACACAAAGTTGAAATAGCTGAACACATGGCTAATTAAGTTTATCAAAATAGCTCACACGTAGTGTTGGTTCTGTTCACTCACACGACTTACCCATTGTAAACGAGTTCTTGCGTCACCTACCTTCCCCCCCCCGCCCCCTCCCCGTTTTTGTCAGCATCTACCTCTGACTGGGTAACATCAACGTGCGTTGGGAAGCAGTTTCTGTCTTGTAAAACTTTTCCATCCGCCTGTGCACCTCCTAACACTTTGCCTCTCCTAATTTTCATACAAACCCTTCGATACTAACCTCATCATGTGTACACTCCGCTAAACATATCTTTACAGTCATCTGTGACTGAGGACACTTCATCAGTTTTGAAATTCTGCGCCGAATATTGGGAGCCGTCTTGTCAAAGCTAGACTGTAAAAAAAGAGGACATCTGATGCATTATCCACTTGGAAGAGTCCCTAATGCGCTGTTACCTATCCTTCTCCCTTGTTTTAAATACACACAACCTTAAGACACAAAAAGGGTTCATTTACACGCAAGGAGGCTGACTTTTCAACTTAAATTCAATTTTCCTCTTTCCAAACGTTCTTTGACATTAGTGACATTTATCAAACAAAAATCCCTGGAGTTTACCAATGAGAAATGTTATCGACAAAAAACATTTTATATATAACAGCGACATACTAACCGCACATTCTTTGTGTAATATGTTCCTCATGCAGACAAAAGGATTGTACCTCGATGTTTCGCTCTTCACCATTCCAAGAGCAACTCGAAACAGCAGTAGCTACACACAACAAAAAAGTAGCTAAGTGAAGATAACGCTCACATTTAAAACCAGATTGTTGTTCTTAATTCTTTCCACACCAAACAGCAGTATGCATATTCTCCATACTGTTCTCTATACATTTCCTAAGGACCTTTCCACCCTAACATCAGTATGCATATTCTCCATACAGGGCTCTATACATTTCCTGCTGCTGACAAGGAGAATTTGTTTAACAATCAAGGGCCCGTGATCATTTCCTTTTTTCTCGTCACCTTGATGTGTGATTCAAGGGTGATATTGTAAGGAAAAATTAGATACCAATCACTACTAGGGGTCAATATTAAAAAAAACTACAGTGTGTAAAAGAGAAAACAAGGTATACTTCCCCATCTTTGAAAACTTTACCCCTTTTAAAAAATACAAAGAATGCTGGAAAAAACATAGACTGTACCCAACTGTCCTCTTCATTGGAAAATGAGATTCTCTCGTTTACTTTCTTGGCCAAGATGTTCCTGTCTTCGTCATCAATCGCATCTGTTATGGCAGAGTATGACAACAACTGTTCACAAACATTTGTATATGAATAGGTACTTTGTGGCCAGTATAACTAATGATGCAGGCACCGCTAAGGCATAACAGGGATGTAAGCATCATATGTTCCTTTTAATCTTTTGAATTGCATCATTGAATAAAACCTCGCATTCTGATTGGTTAACGAAGCGAGGTACTTAGTGTGGAATTGTGAGTTGAAAAAGAGGCTAAGTCATATTGTTTCGAATCTACGTACATATGACAACTATCAGTAATGCTGTTTTCTTTTTTTCCTTAGTTTAATTCAATTATGCGATTCAGGGAAAATCCATTACTTGACAGGTGAATTCCGCGTTAAAAAGGTTAAGTTTGTGATCAATAATTGTCCGTCCACATACTTAGATGGCCTGTTTTACAGGAATGTTCTTCTGTCTTTTTTGTCTTCTCTCGACCATTTCCAGCTTGCTTCTTTTCGGCAGAGTTTACAGTTCTCATCTTCTTTACACCGGCAACTTCTTTCTCATTCTCTTGTGATTCTGTGGCGAGAAGTACAAAAACCGCATGGTGAAAATACTGACTGATTTGACCTTTACTCCTGAGAATGACTGACATCGAATTTCTCTTTACAATATCACTCCTCAATCGAACAGAAAAGTCACGGGAATGAAGGAAATAATCACCAACTGAAAAAGCTCTTGATTGTTAAACAAATTCTCCTTATCAGCACCTTAGGAAATGTCTGTAGAATAGTACAGAGAATATTCATATTGATGTTAGGGTTAAGTCAGAAAAAAATCCAAGTCCAAGATAGGATTTGAACCCACGACGCTCCGTGATCTAGTCGGATGCTATAACCACTAAGTTACTGGAGACTCAAGGGTCCATTTTGTGGGTCTTGACTGGAACCGCATCGCGCGGGTACCCAGTCAAGTATTGAGCAGCGCATGTGAAACTCACTAACAGCATCACGCAGTCACACTAAAGCATATCAAGATGCGGCCAACCAACCTCCAAAGTGAGAATATAAGATGAAACAAACAAACAATTTTAATGTATAGTCGGACTAGCATCCGACTAGATCACGGAGGGTGGTGGGTTCAAAGCCCATCTGGGACTTGGATTTTTTCCGACTATACATTAAAATTGTTGTTTGTTTCACCTTAGATGTTAGGGTGTAAAGATTTAATCTGGATGCCACTATTACCTACTTAGAAGGAAAATTTTAAGTAACAAGTTGAACAAACTGATTTTTTATTTAGGATTCCTGAATGAAATAACTACAAATAAAATGTTTCATATTTACCTTCTGTTTTCCTTTTACGCTTCTTTTTCTGTTGTTTAATCTTTTCTTTGTGCGCTTGCTGTTTCATTTCAGGTTTTCCAATGCTCCAGAAAGTTTTTCCTCCTCGATTACCAGCACTATCCTTATTCTGAACACTCCCATCGCTTTCCGCACCCTCTGATACTTTTGATCTTTTCCTGTCAATAAGTACAAAGGCATAGCTCAAGCTGAGCGATAAATACACAGTAACATCTAAAACAAGTATTGCAGAAAACATTTGTCTGAGCTAATGATCTTCCGAGCAACTGAGGTCTTTTTCTCAGTCGACAAAATTTATACGCTTCATATGTGAGAAGGTGGTTAGTAAAACATGCACTCTACATAGGAATGGTGTTCAGTTCTAAATAAACATTTTAATCTGACCTTGAAATAAAACTGACAGAAACTTAACAACATTAACCGAAACCCCTAAAAAAAAAAAGAGCAACGCGTTTTGGAGACTTGAGATGTGTAACTAGCTGTTGCAAGAGTAGTATAAATGACTTACTAACCGGGTCGATGCTGTCATTACTCGTGTCCAGTTCCTCTTGAAATGACTGAAAAAACACCTGTCCAGACCAGCAGCACCAAGCTGATCTCCAGGAGGGAAATCTACTTTGTCTTCATTTACTTCTTCTTGAGCAAAGTGGATAAGTCTTTTGTTCTTCATTGAAGACATTTCTTGGTCCGGAGCTCCTTCATCGATCTTGACCACTCCTGAAATATTGTGACATTAACTGAATACTTTTGCAATAACGATTGACGATTATTGTAAATATGTTCTCAGTTGAATTACGCACGTATTTTGATTGGTTCTTATCTATGATCTATTGAAGGACAGACGCATACATGACGTCACCGTTAGCAAATACTTGTTTTGTAATCACAATTATAAAAAAAATAGATTTCATGTTGCCGTGGGTCTGTACAGCACTAGATCAAAGAAGACCTTAAAATGTGATAACATCATTGACACACTCGGCTGGACGTCGTGTGCCACTTTTTCGCTCTTATTACATTTTGACGTCCTATGTGACACACGGACACAGAATCTGTTTGTCAAGTATTGCACGTATAAGTGTATAATTAACAATTATTCCACTCGCGCTTGTTGGATATGAGATGATAGATAGCCAACGAGGCGCGTAGCAGGTACTGAGACTATAAAACAGATCTAAAGACACAGGGGTGTACAAAGCTTTGCTTTCATGTCCAAATTGAGCACTCTATCTAGGATGAGTCATTGCCGTTGCAATTGCGCATGCTCGCTGGTTTACTCTAGTTTGAGCACTCTGGCATGGCTTAGACGATACCACAAAGGTTGGGTCGTTTGGGGTGACCGTCTCGGTTCTCCCCCATCCTAGCATTAGCACTGCACTGATGAGGCCCAGAAGGCCGAAACAGTACTGTCTGCAGTTAGTTATATATATAT